CCCCAAAACCCCAAAACCCCAAAACCCCAAAACCCCTATTCTTGTATAATTGGTGGAATTTCAATTATTATTAAGATGGAAAAATTGAGTCAGATTATTGTTATCTGCAAGTATTGCCCCAAAGTGTGGTTGCTCGTAGCTATGAAGCTTTATTACCCTTACATGATGAGGAAGTGGTTCAAGCAGTACAAGAATGTAGCAGTTAGTGAAGATTTCGATCTTATTTATGGAGATCATGGTAAGTTTTGGGGGAATGTAATCCAAAGAAAAGAAATAAATGCATAATGCGTTTTTTCTCAAAATTTGACTTTAAGAATTTTGGAATAGAGAGATACCAAATGGGCTAGACTGTAATTCTGATTAATATAAATTGATATCAAATTAGAATAAAAGAAGTAGTCCTTATACAAGCTTTGGGCAGCCTATCTTGATTTTTGATAATTTTTATCGAACGTCTGTATTTCAAGAGATTTTTAGTGAACTAATTGCTCATCATTTTGGATTATAGATAGAACAAAAATGGTTGATGATGGCGGAACTGAAATTCAGATGCATATTGATACAGTGCTTGAGAATAAAGATTTAGATTTTAGATTAGAAGTTTATTACAGTGATGTAACTCTTCATATTTATTCCCCAAGAGCTATTAGAGAAGCAACTGCTCTTATTCCACAGAAAATAGACCATTCAGATGATGAGAAGTTGAGTTTTGGAAAGCTCTGACCCCTATCTTTTGAAAGGGTAAGATTAAGATCATCTCTGTAGCAAAGAGCATCTAAAGAATGAAAAGTCAGAAAAGAAGCTGTTTTGAAGCACACACCTCTCAAGAGACCAAGTGATCATGTTGCAATGATGCTTCAGAAAATTGAGTATGAATCAAGCAAGTGGGAGCTTAATGAGTCAGTTGATATCATTCGGTTTATTAATTGCTTGGCAATCAAGATGACTTGCATAGCTCTTTTTGGTAACGATTTTATGAAGGAATCTGGGAAATGCCCGTATGCAAATGAGGAAAACAATATTGACAATATATCCCTCCCAGAAGCAATATCTAATACATCTTGTGATTTAGAGCAGAATTATGAATATCCGATATCTAAACTACTTCCAGGGATTAACGAGAAGAACCTGGGACACCCTTATAAGAGAGATAAAAAGAATATTAAAGAAATTCAAAAGTTTTTATCAAACTATTTAAAATCTAAAGGTATCTTTTATAATTTTTCGAAGTTTTAATTGATTAATTTAGGCACCTTAAAAGTAAGTTGACTCGATTCAGATAAATAGGATGGATCTCATCACAAGTTCTCTCAGATTACAGAAGATCAGGCTGTCGGTGATTACCTTAATGTAATCGATGCAACTAATTCTACCTTGGATATTGGTATTGCGAGTTGTCTTTTTAGACTCAAACAAAATCCACATGTTCAGGAGAGGCTAGTCGAGGAGCTCAAGACTTGTGGAATAACATCAGCAATTAATGATAAATCATTGACTACTGCAATGCTCTCAGAGTGCGATTATCTTACATATGTAATAAAGGAGGTTTTAAGAATGGATCCCCCTTCAGTCTACTCTTCACCCTATATGACTTATGAAGAAGTTGAGATTTGTGGAATAAAAATTCCTTCAAAGACTAAGATGGCTATCAATTTTGGTAAGAAGTTACAAAATCATTGTGATTTAGCTGGATGCCACTATAATTCAGACCAATGGCATGAGCCTACTAAGTTTATCCCAGAGAGATTCGACCCCACCAGTGAATATTTCCTAAAGCCCGGAACAGGTAATCTGATAATATAACTGTAAAGATGATGTCAGAGATCCATTAGCATTCATCCCTTTCTCTACAGGAAAGAGATCTTGTCCTGGCATGCCATTTGCATTAACAGAGATTAAGGTGTACCTCTCCTTTCTAATCTCTAAGTTTGATTACTCTATCGAGCCAGAAATGTTTAGTAACCCAAATGTGAGATTTGAACAAGATTCTGGCTTCGAGCTTGACATAAAGATCACAAAGAAGCATTAAAGTATTGCTCTAGAGCTTTCAACTCTTTATAGTCATAAAGGGGTTTTGGGGTTTTGGGGTTTTGGGGTTTTGGGG